GTAAATATCACTATGAATAATATCAAAGGGAAATTCATTAAAAGAACAAAAGATATTAAATGGTAATTTCACATGTTTACCAAGAGGACAAGAAGTGCAAAAATCATGACTGTCTTTATTACAATTTATGAAATTTTGACAACAAAGAGAGTTTAAGATAATAGCTCTAGGATGACCTAAACTATAAATGTTGAAAGAATGATTGGTGGAGAGATTGAGATTGTTTGATAGTTGGGATGGATGTGGTAGAGATCTCCAAAGCTATTATATCTCATTAGATAGTTCCTCGTGTGGAAATCCTTCATCAAAAACCCCCCAAAGGATCAAATTCAACAAAAATCAGATTATCAATGGTAAATTTACGAACATATATGAGATTTTTAATGAGTTTTTGTGTATATAACACATTGTTTAAGTTTAAAGGAGAGTGAGGTGAGGATAGTGTAGTGCTTCCATGACCATAAATAGGAATCAAATAATCATTATTAATAACAATATTGTAATTCCTATAGTTAATCAGGAATGCAATCTAAAATGTTTTTTCAAACTATCCAATTTGGGAAGAAGATCGTAAGGGTAAAATGAGATTTATTTTAATTATAGGAGTATAGGAAATAATTATGGAGGCAAAAAGAAAACATAACCTAAAGACCTTGTTATTGTCAACATTTTTAGGTTTGGAGTTGCTAAATTATGTAAATCATAATTTGTTAATGGTTAATTCTTTTTCACTCCAATAATTCTTTCGTATAATTAAAATAAATTTCATTTTATCGTTTATTTATCTTCTTGTTTTTTTTAACTCTAAAAAACTTATTTTTCATCATTCATCGTTATTTTAAGGGATTTATTAGATCAAGAAATGACTAGTTTTAAATAAGATTTTAAACTATTTTAAATCTCTTATTTTTTTTTTCCACATAAAAAAATATATACATTTATGTTCTTAAACATTAAGAATCAACTTTCATATTAGTTGATTTGAAACTCATTTTTGATTTGGTGTTTTTGGAATAATTTTAGGTAATCCATAAATCCAAAAATATTTTAGAAACATCAATTTAAAAGTGTTATGATTTGTTGAATCAAGAAGATTTTTTTATTGAGTTTTCTGAAAATATATTTCAGATTTAGAAAACTAAAACATGTTAGTTATATGCGCTTTTTCAATAGTATAAATCACCGTTAAATTTTTAATATGGGAATGAAAATGATCTCAAATGAAGATGTAGGAAACGGTGGTACGCAATTATGGATATGCGGCACAGGAAAAAAAAAAAACAAAGTTCATTTCATATTAGGATTTGAAAAAAAAAAAAAAAACTCAAACACAATAATTAGGCGAGAAGAAGGAGCCTTGTTAATTATCTTATTAATTAGGCGTCGTGACTCGTGGCCCTGTGCTTCTCCTAGCATAAGGCAATGTTGGTGGTGGCTATTCATTGAGAAGAATGTGATGACAAATTGATAACCCCACCAAAAAAGTGTTTTCTCTTCCTTTATTTTTTTCTAATCGACAATGAATTCGATTACGGTTGATTTGAATATAATCTACAGGGTGAAAGGGAATTAAGCAAGTGGAAAAGAATTGCTTGTTTAATCGAAGCTAAATACCTTCTCTTAATTTTTGTTCTTATCATCAATTTTATGTGTAAGCTTTGAAGACTTGGTGAGCTCCTTCATGTGTTAAACCAGTGAACCCAAACTAACTTTAGCGACATACCAACCCAAACCCGATATGAAACTTCAGACTTTTTTGACAAGTTTGGCGTGGAATCACATCAATATTCAGCATTTGTTCTTGCTATTATTCAAAATTTGGGAATAACCAATGTCAACTTCCATTATCATGCTCAAGTCAGTATCTGTACGTCTTTCACCCAAAAATAGTAAAATCCTTTTTGTCTCCTTTACAAATCTAATCATCTCATTTATGTCAACTACCAACTTGACACCACTGGAAGAACATACATTTGGATGGAAGAGAACCAAAGAAAAGGGACATTTCAGAGTTCTTTTAATTCTGTGAGGTTTTGAGCCTCCAAACTAAAAAAAAAAAAGAATAAATTTTTTACTTAGCCCTCATCATTTGTCATTCCATCTTTTTTTTGAACAAATTCTTGCTTTCTATTTCATTCCTTTATCATTGAAATATTAATATCACCCAATTGGAGGGTTGCCACCCCAACCACGAAGAATATTAATATTGCTGCACCAACTTTCTTCTGAAGCTCGGAAGAGGTAATTTGGTGCGTAAAGGGCTTGCAAGATCAGATTCAAAGTCCCGACCAAGAAGGAATAACCTCTTTTTCTTTGGTGAAAAGAAAGAACCCTTTTCAGTTTGGAAGAAAAACTTGTACTTGAAGATAGACATACGTTGTCATTGATTAGCCAAATCAAGAAAAAGAGAAAGTTGAGTGAGGACTCATAATTCCCATACTTTAATATATGATGCCTCATGCGTTTTCGTTCCCCAAACTTTATGAAATTCCTTCTATGTAACTTCTCTTATATTAGTAATCAACCCTAAACTGAGATTATATGAAAATGGGCAGATCAATATCTTTAACAGACGTGAATTGAAGGGTACTAATTTATATATATTCATTCCTATCAGTTAGATTTTCAATTACTTAATAGTATTGTTTTCATGTTTAGAAATATGTACATAAATATATCGTAGTCATTTAGAGCAAAAAGAAAAAATTAATATATCTACTCGTGTGCGTATGTATTAAATTTTAAGTCTTTCTTTTTATTCTCATAAAAATATGTCATATTTTTCTTCTTATGATTTTCATATCACGACACACGTCTTGATATTAAATAACACAAAATCTATATTTATTTTGAATTTATTATTTTTATATATTTACTTTTATTTAAGACTTTCAAAATGCCTAACCCCACCATGTCTTCATCGCGCTTTTCAGCTGAGATATGGAAGCATCATAGATTGTGACACATGTTGATTGGTATTAAAATTTATTGATAAATATAAAAAAATGCTATAATCAAAATTGATTGATAAATTGAAAAAAATTTCCCTTTAAATTAATTCAAAGATAAATTAATAAATGATACAAATTTATTACAGAAATTAGTTAATATTTATTTATATTATAGACCCAAAACTATTTAACTATCGAATAATTTTAATAGTAATCAATGATCAAAATAAATTTGTAATTAACATAAAAATAAATACAAAAATCCAATATAATATATTTTATTTATCTATCCTCATCCAAACACTCTTGTCATTCAACCTTACGAAATAATTTTCTTTACCTGATCCTGAACTTGAGTGTGATTGAAATTGTTCCTCTTTATCTTGAGTAAAACTTTTTGATTTATTTTCTATAGAGTTGTTCATGCTTTAAAATAAATTGAGTGAGAAGAGTGAATCAAACTAAATTAAATACCAAAAGGCTGAGAGCTATACACACCATTTAAGTGGAGAAATTTTTAGAAACTAACCTAATTGTTTCCCTTTGTTTTCTAACCTAATTGTGCAGGAAAATGGGAAGCCAAGATTCATTACATCCTATGAAACCTAGGCATGTCGAGATCTATGCTACAAGACAAATTGCATAAACTCAAACGATTTTATAAAAACATCAAATGCAAGATCTCCTTATTACGGAGGTGAGCAATTTTTTATGAAGAGGAAGGGGGGCAATGAGAGAGGAAGAGAAAAATCTGCAATGAGAAGATTACTAAATCACATGTGAGAGGATTCCTAAATTTTTAGGTAATTGTAATCTTGAGTTGTATTATGAATAAGTATTACAGGTAGATCAAATTTTTAATATTTATGACTTTGAATATTTCATTAAAGTGAAAGTTGCTATTCTGAATTTGAAAAATATACTTTAGTGTGACCAAATTAAAAAACATTTGGTCATTACTATACGACATAATTTACAAATATGCAAAAGGGAAAGATTTGTATCATCCTTCAAAAAATGATCTTTACCTTAAGTTCTATAAAGACATATGTTGATGAATATTTTAAAGATTTGGAACTTACCATGATAAAGGTTGAAATGGAGGAAAACATGAAAAGTTATCATTATTATACTAATGTAAAATTATTATTTTTTTACGTCATATTATTTACATCAGTTATATGAATACCGGTGACATTTTAAAAGAAGTTACAAATTAAATTTAAGAATGACCGATTAAAGCACTCTTATTAAAATACTTACTCACAATAGTGGGTTTTAATTTTTTAGGACCACTTTTGCCAAGGCAGAATCAGTTGAAGAGAAACCTGTTCTTATCACTATGCCAATTACCTAACAAAATCAACAATAAGACAGTAAAATTAGTTCAACCTTAAAGAATAATAAATTATGAGATCCTCCATCTTTTATAATTATGATCTGTGATTAAAATCTAGGTTGAATTTTAAAGGGTGATCGAAGGGAACATTTGATCATTAAAATAATTGAAAATGTAAACATTACATTAAAAAAAAAGAAGAGAGAGAGAATATTGTACTACAAATAATCCTCTTTTATTTTTGTTTTTTCCTTACGTAAAACAAATCATTCATACAAAACATATTAGTATCAAAATAAACAATCATTGGCATGAACAAATCAAAAGCATTGAAGTAGCCCCATATCCTCTAAATTCTCCCATATATTCTCTACCAGAAGCAGCAAAATTTGGTTCATATATATTAATCTTGCAGCACACCAGTTAATAAAGTATGTAAATGCATGTTAAACATTTTCTCTTCTAGTGGTCACTAATCATTTGCAAGTACACATCACTCTGGTTGTGGCTGGCCCAGCTTTCCCTGGTCATCTTTGAAGGGTCACTTCGTTTGTTTCTTTTCTCACTTTTCCTTCTTTTCATCCTTTGTTTTCTTCAGCTTTTCTCTTCAATATCTGTGCCTTCACATTTGCTTCATCATCCTATTACGCAAATAGTTAATAATACGTCATCAATTCTCCACTTGCCGAGTCTCTTTGGCTTTATCTTCTCTATCTCAAGAGTGCGCCCCTGAATGTAGGCGTCCACAATTCAGCACTACTAGTGGTTTCTGTTGCCACTGGAAATGTGCTTGAAATCGGTACCAAACACAGTCCTCGGCTTTTTAAATCTTGCTGTGGTCCTTCTGAGCTTTTCAGATCATCGCAGCCCTTTCAACAAAGATATAATAAATGTTTCAAAACTACTCAACCATATAAATGTTACATATCACCACAAAAGGTGATGTCAGATTAATCAGTCATTAGTATTTTATATGTCTCAGTTTAGTAAAAATTGAACTATTATATATAGAAAAGAATGTAAGATGTGGTAACAGTTTCAGAGAAAAACGGTAAATTTACCATATAATCTTGTATTAATTATATGAATTAAAAGTTATTTAATAATAATATAATCACTTTGAATGGTCAAATAGCTTATAATTTAATCTAAACCTTTAATAAATCTTATCTTTTACTAAATTTTGCTCTTCACATCCTCTCATAATTATAGTCCTCACTCACATGGGATAAAGATGAATGAAACCTCATGCTATTTGATATTTTGAGAGAGAAAATGAGAATAATGAAAGTATAATGTGTTAGAAAGCTATATTAGAAAGAAAGTCTGAAATAAGTGCTTGTGACATATCTGTCTATGTATATATAATATTCATGATTACAATCTATACTAATAACTTTTTTTCATTAAAAAAATATCATATCAGTAGAAGTAAAACTAATTAACAATATTTTTTTACTATTAATAATGGACATTCTTGCTAAAAGAATAATATATATATACTATAAGCATTTTGGAGTACCTGCTTCGGTTGAATGGGAGCTCCATTTTTCATATATGAGGTGCTCAAAACCTGTAATTCAAGATGAGAAGATAATATTTAAAACACAACGTAAAAAGAGCCTTATAATAAAACTTTTTCTTATTGAAGATTTGTATATGTGATGCTCAATAATTAGGGTTTGTTCAAAACAATGTTGAACGTACATTGACTTGATCATGAAGGAACTTAATGTACTCGATGGCTTCGTGAAGAACGGATGCGGTGTCGGTCTGTTAACAAGAATAAAAAAAATCAGAATGAGGTTCTAACATTTTTACCTTTCAATGTCATATAAGAAAGTAAAGGTTTCAATTATATCATAGTTGTAGCTCCTGTGGAAATTAAAAAAAAAAAAAAAAAAGTGAAAGAGACATATCCGAGAAATTTCACCTTTCCGAAAGGTGAAACCAATTGCTGAAGAGCAGTGACCCGGTCCCCTAGCTTCTCTTTCCGAACCTGTCCATACACATCAAGTTGATTAAAATCTAAAGTGAAATTATTATAAAGGTTGAACAATTTTGCATAGTGAAAAAAAAAATGAATTGAAGTAAACAAGAAATCTATGTACATGAAACAGTAGATACCTTAAAAGTTGGTAATGGGGATGGAGTTTCAATTCTTGGCCTCTTTAATGCTGGTTCACAAACATTTTTCTTCGCCATTGTTGCTGAATCTAGAGTTTCTTCACTGTTGATCTGTACTTCAATATATATTTATCAATTACAGTCTTCAACAGAAAACCCTAGCTAGCTACACATATGGATATAGATTTAAGTGAGCTTAAACTGAAACATGTACCTTGTTTAATAGAGTAATTGGGCTATTGGGTTTCTCTTGAACAAAGGTTGGCGTTTGGTATTGTGATTGTGATGAAGCAAAGGTACCTACTCTTATGTCGTTAAGTGCGTCGGCGGAAGCATTCCAGAAAGGGGTGTTGTTAGAAAAGTGAATTCCAACAGGTTGTTGCTTTGCAATTGTTGTGGGCTTCAAAAAGGTAGAGACTTTAGACCATGATGGCGTTAGTTCAGTGCAGGGTGTCCCATAACTTGCCTTTGATGAATAGGACATGGGACGGTTGGTGAAAAGTGAGTGCTGTGGTAATTGTGGACGAGGATCAGGGTCATATAAGCTTTGTATCGTTGAAGGGTTACCATATGAGTCTGATCCAATCGAGAAATCACGATTTGATGATAACCCAGTTAAAGAACTTGGACTCTGGTGATCTAGTGAAAATTCTTGGTTCAATGGCTTGAAATTATCAATTTGGTCTCCTCCGCCACCAGAGGAGAAGCTCTTTGGGATCCAATCCCTATGGATTTGTGAATTAGAAGAATCTATTCCCGTTTCTTCCTGAAGCACGGAATGAAAATTGCTCTCTGACCTTCCACTACATCGACTATAGGATAAAAAAAAAAGACAAAATATATGGTCTTGGTTAGGAGAATCCAATAGGAAGAAACAGTTAAGAGCTATAGTATACTCCATATATGCTTTGATAAGATCAAGTTCCCTTTTTCAAATGAAATCAATGAGAAAAAGTTAAGAGAAATAAACCTTTTCAACCCTAGTGGAAACGTTGGACCATATACCATAAACCTTCCACCCACACATATTACATGAAAATTCTCTCTCATAAGAAAATGTAAGCAAATACAGTAAAGTATATATCAAAATATATATTATTTTTGGTGATGCCTTACAATAATAGAGGTTGATTCCAATTCTCTGATGTTGAAGATGTGAGGCCAAAACCCATCATCTGTAAGGTCGAATCGGTCAACATGACACCACTTTCACTGGCTGATTCACTCTTGTGTGGCTTCTGTGCATCAACAAAGCCCAGGTAAGTGTCAGAAACCAAGCTGTCTGTCTCTTCAGTACAACACTTGGTTGCCTTCAAGTCTGCTTGCCGGGTGCTATAGACTCCTGCATCTTGACTAGCCGCCACGGAACAAGGAGAAGGAGAAATCGACGATGAGCTTAAAGGGAATACACTTCTGGCTGAATCAATGGTACCATTCCACCAGTTTTCACCACAAATCCTAGCTTGAAACTCCTCAGCCATGGCAAGCCTTTATTTATTCTTCTTCTTACCAAATTGCCGATTTGTTTGTATCTATGAGCTTTGCTAACTTCTTGAGTTACGTGCTCAATATAAAAATATATCACTCAGCAATATAAAGGGTTGGAGGGTGAGTGATTTTATATATGAAACGGTTAGAAGGGTACGGACAGTGGAGACTACCGGAATCCGGTTGACATTACAAGGGGATGATTAGACAAATGAGAGAGAGAATTTTGAATCATATTCTAATTCTCCTTTTCTTCAAAACATATGCATAAGTACTTGGCTATAAATTTATTTATTTCACAATTGGTTTTATTGCTTTTGTTTTCATCTTCTATTTTTAATATTAGCAAAAGTATATAATATTATTGTCAAACTCAGAATAATATATATAATAAGAATATATATATATATATATATATATATATAATAATAAGTAGTTAGTTAGAGTGATATTAAAATTATTCCCCTAGATAAATTTTAAAAATTTAAGTTTTGTGATTAAGAAAAGACACTTAAAAAAAATTAGTGTTTCAAATTTATCAAGGCAGATTAATCTCTAGCATAGTAAATACTTTACATCAATAATCTATATAAATAAATTCAACATGTCAGCTACAAACTGTTTTTTTAGTGGTTTTGCTGAAATTATAAATTACGGTGATAAGTTCCATATAGAAATTTATTTGTTTTTATTGTTATTTTTTATAATTTAAAATAATAATTCATTTCAATTATAACTCATTTTAATGTTATTTAAAATAATAACCCATTTTAATTATTAAATTATATAAGATAAATTTATAATTTTTATTTTTAAAATTACCGTATAATATATTATATTATTATGTATAGTCTTTTTTATTGCTTATTTTTAAAATTTAATAATTAAAAATAATAAGTTATTTTAATTGTTAAATTATAAAAATAAAAAATAAACTTTTATTTTTTATTTTTCAAATATATTATATTATAATATAACATAACATGTATCATATCATGCATGAGGGTGACATAATGATATATTCATGTTGTGAGATTTGATTTGCAGTCCAGCCATGTTATGTCATGATTTGTATAGAGTTCATCAAACCCTCTACTAAAATAAAATAATTAGGAACCTAATGAATTTGTTTAGAGGAGTAACTAGTTTACATTATCTATAAGAAAGTTCTTAAAATATTGAGTGCGTCCCACTTCATGAAATTGTAAAGTCGAGGAAAATGGAATTTATATATATATATATATATATATATATATATATATATATATATATATATATAAAAGAGGTAATAATGAATTTAATTAGACAACTAAATAAATTATTTATCTTTGTTTTTCTTTTCGTGACATTTAATTACTTCAAGAAGTCTTAAGAAAAACAAATACTCCTTAAGTAAATTTTGTATTAAACAATACATGTTGAATAATAAAGGTTATAAATTAATGAAAATTATTTTAAAGCATAAATTTATCTAATTAGTCAGTAATTGTATTCTTTAATTATTAAAATAAAAAAACGAAAAATAATCCCCAGTACTCCATTTCTTTTTTTCCCCCACAGATTACTGACATGATAGAAAATTATTATAATCCAAAAATGTGTAGGTGAGATAAAATTGAGGACCATTTTCATGGTAAGGTTATGATTGCAGACAACATAGTACCAGTCCTAGTACAACTAGCTGGACCAAGAACTTAATTGGTAATGTAGTACTTTTTTCATTTCGCTAAATAAGAATTAATTGGCTAAATAACAGTGGGGTCTCACTTGGGTTAGTGAAACTTAAACCAAACTACAAAATGTTATATATATAGATGACCTCACTCACATAACTACGCTGTTGTTGGGAACCTAATTTGAAATGTCAATGGGTCACTCTTAAAATTCTACAATAAACATGTATTTTTTTCTCTACTACTGAATAAAAAAATATAATTATCAAAACATTGAAGTCAAATGTATACTACGAGGAATCTAAAAAAATCATCTAAATTTCTTAAAACATATTCAATATTTTTTTATATAAAATAAGAATTTATGATATCATAAATATTTAAATTATTATATATTTTTAGTTAATTTATTATTTATTTTATTTTATTAAAAAATTTAAAAATTTTAAAAAATTCATTTTTTTTATCTTTATTTATTTTTATAAAAATATAAAACACTTAATAAAATTTAAATAAGTTATCGGATATTTTTCTAATAGGAAAATATTTTAAATAACTAATATTTTATTTAAGTATATCAATAAATAATTATATTTTTAATCATTATTATTGAATAAATAAGAAAGTATTTATAATTTTTAATAAAACCATCAATATAATGAAGGTAGATCAAATCATTAAATCTAGAAAATACATGTTTTTGAAAATCATTTAGTGATCACAACAACCTAATCAATTATATTTATAATTAAAAATAAATTATATAAAAAATATTATTATGTATCAGTTTATCATTATCATTAACTATTACTAATTATGTGATTTCTAATACTTTATTATTTTATTTTTAACCCTAATAAAATAATACAAAGTTTATTAATATATATAGATTTTCTTTTATAAAAGTGTTGGCGATTTGGTTTTTATTATTTAAAAATATGAAATAAAAAAAATTAATATTTTATAATTTAATTGGAAATTTTATGATATTTTTATTATAAAATTAGTATATTATAATAAAATAATTGTTCAATAAAAAATATATTATATAATTAATTATTATATTCATAGTTTTTATTTTTTTTAATCTTTATATTCAATTTTAAAAAATAATAATACATATTTTATATTATAAAAAATTAATTAGTTTACCCATTTTTTCAGAATAATGATACTTTTGTTGTTGTTAAGAAAAGAGTAAATTCAGAGTATAATTGATTATAAAAACAAATAATAAATTATGTATGATATTTTTTAATTTATATTTATTTTTTATTTGTTTAGTATTATATTATAAATAATTAAAAAATATATATTAAAATAATAAATGAATTTATTTAACTTTCTACTTATTTTCATATTTTTCTCCTAATTTAAACAATTTTACTCTTTCCTTTATTTTTCACCTTGCCTATTTCCTTAAACCTCCTTTTTAATCCAAATACAAACTAAGATAATTTTATATTTTAATTCTAATAAAATATAATATAAATTATATTTAGTTTAAACTGAATTAATTTTTTACTGTGAAATTATAAATCAAATCAAACTAATTAATTAAAAATTTCAATCCAATTTTTTTAAAAAAAGTTAATTTTAATCAGTTTTTATATTTTAGATTGACTTTTGATTTATTTTTAGATTGGTTGAGTTTTATAAACCCCTAAATTTTATAGATATGAATATGTAAGTAAATTATTTACCTATATGATATTAATTTGTACGTATACCAATAGATGAACCTAAATTCGGATGGTAATATTACTAATTTTCGTTTTAAGGTAATTCCTAGACTATTATATTGATACTTTGTTTATTTTACAGTTAAAATATTAAAAATCTAAATTGATCTATTCCCCCATAAATTCAACGTTTCCATGAATATTTGGAGGGGAATAATAGACTATAATAAGCTCAATTTTGGTAAAGTTAAATATGACCCACTTTATAATTAAAAAAATTGAAGTTAATCTCCTTATTTCTTATATGATAATTTTTGCAACTAGGTTTTGACAAGAAAACCTGCTTTATATTAAGGCTATAATAGACCTATGAATCTATAAGCATATAGGTCTGAGGTTAAGCCTAAATATATTTTTAGAATAATTAATTATTGTAGTCATTAAGAGTAAATATAGTATAACATAATATAATATGTAAAGCAAACAAGGCGACAAATTTGGCCAATTTTTTACTTAAACATACTTTTTAAAAGTTAAACAATTTTTTAATGAACAAGACAGCTTTATTATGAAGGTGAGGCTCTTAACAACCCATTAACCTCTTTAATAACCCAACTCCTCTTTGGTGAAACCTACACTATTTGATATTCTCTATTTTGAAGCTTAATACTTTATTATAATTCTATTTTTAAAAGGTATTTTTTACTTAAAAGATTTATACAAATTATCCTTCATCTCGATTAATAAGTAGTATGATTTTTTTTACACACTTTTGTGATAAGCAGCTTCATCGAAAGTATTAGATAGATCATAACATGCTTAAAAGTCAAAAGCATTTTATAATAAATTGTGATATAATAGTCAATTTTGCTTCTTTCTTCCAAATGCTACCTTCCAGTTGCTCCATAATAGAGGGTTAAACTGCTCCTTCCTATAAATTTATAATAATCATGTTGTCTTATTCATGTTTAGAAAAAGAAAGGGAATCATGTGTACTAAACTAAAACATATATATAAGATAAAATTGACAGAGAATTTTGAGTTCGTAGAAAGAAAGGGACCAGCAAAAATAATCATTTTCTTACGTTATAAATGCTAATTGCTTCAACATGTTGCGGCAATAGATAAACTGTTTTTGACGTTAATAAAACAAGGTTTGGTGGTTTTCTTGTTTGTCGGGACTTTTTCTTAATTATGGTTAACAAAACGGTTAAGTTCGATTCATTTTAGTTAAACTGGTTGATAATTTTAGTATGTGATTTTATTTTTATATTGTACTATCGATGGATTAAGTTTATATATTAAAATTAAAATAAAAAATTATGATTAAAATTATTATATTTTTTGTTATTTTGTTCAAATATATAAATATATTATAATATTATAATTTAGATTATAAATATTAATTAATTAAATATAAATTATTGATTATAATTAGGTATTTTAATATATAAATATAATAATTTTTTAATTTATCTAATAAAATAAAAAAATTTAAAATTAATTATATAATTAAAAATATATTTAAAAAAAAATACAAACAATATTGATAGATTGATCTGAAATTTATAATCCATCACCAATCTCATTTCATTCTTAACAAGATGAAATAAATCAAATCGGAATCAACTATCCTATTTTATCATCTACCTTTAGAAATCAAATTCTAATCAACTAGGGACTTATAACAGCAAAGTTAAAAAATAAAATAAAAATTTCTTAGTTGCAACATTCTCAATTTTTATATGTTACAAATCGTTACTTTTCGAAATAATGAAAGATACTAAGCTAAAGTGGAATTCACTTATCCTTAAACTCAATTTCAATAATTTTTTACTCAACTTTTGAAATTAAAAAGGGTAATTTTATTTTAAGATTTTAATTGATGTTAAAATCAAATCTTTAACTTTATCTTATTTTCTCAACATAATAACTTTTATCACCATCTTTACCTCTATCACTCGTTACCATAGTCAAATAATAATTATTATTATGATCACTTCATGCTACGTAATCATCAAATATGTCAATGAGTTTGGTTCAACAAATAATTCAAAAACTTTGAAAAATAATTTAAATCTGACTAAAAAATGAAAGCCTAAATTGTACCAAGTTACTTTTGGTCGAACTCTTTTAATATGCGACCTAAACGAATTTTTACTCATAACGTGGATCATCCCCCTTTTAGAAATGATAATTATATTTTTTTAAATATTAAAAATAATATTATTTTATTAATATATATTAATTTATGTATTAAATTATTATATTTAAAATTAAAATTAATTTCATTAATATAGCTTAAATTATAAGAATGCATTTTTTTATTTAAAAAATAAATTTTAATTATTGTTTATTTTGAAAAGGAAACCAAAGGACTTATGAAACTAACCTAAAATTAAACTGTACATAAAACTATAGTGCATCATTATTTTTAACTACACATCATCTTCAAAATCCTAACTTAGACTAATTTGATGATGTAAAATTGCATCGACTATTGAGTTTCCTCAATAAGGAATATTTTCATTGACTTTGATGGTAGTGTTAAAACAAACATGTAAAAGACATACCACTCTTCTTCCCTTCTCTTTATAGTCGTAATAGGAGATAATATTTTAGATATAATTTTAGTTTCTTAATTTTGAATAATATTGTTTAGTTCTTTTAATTGCAAATTATTTTTTAATTCTCAAATATAATAAAAGTATTATTATTATTATTTATTTATATACTCCACTCATTACTAAATTACTAATATGACAAATGATATTGAAATCAGACAAGTGTCCAAAATAAACTTTTATTATTTTTTAATCTCTAAAATTTAGAATATTCTGATTTTGATCATAATTTTTTTTTAATTTTAAATTATCATCTGAACAATATTATAGAGAAAAGTTGTGATGGAACAAGTAAAACACTCATTCTTTTCCTGAAAATTTGGTCGAATATGAACCCAAAATGAGTTCATAAAAGCCCAAATAAATTGGGTATTGAGAAATCGGGCCTGCTATTGGCACTTCTCATATTGTTATTAGAACTCAACAATTCACAGTAGAGTAGATGCAATGCAACCAGCATGAAAACTTAATTCGGCACTCATATCAATGTTAAGGTGGCTCTTAATGCTAATTTTGTTTAGAAATTTAAATATATTTTTATTTCTTATAACTTATTTTGGTGACACGGAGGATTGATTGAAGCCATGCGAGTTGGAGTTGAGGGGGTCATATAATTTGAACTAAAACATTAAAATAGATAACAAAAATTATATGTATTTTATATTTTTAATGAGTGTACGAGACTTGTTTTTTATTATTATGATTATTGTAATTTAACTTTTAAATTATTTATAATATTAGATTTTCGGTATGCAAAATTATAAAGTTAACTATGAATTTTCGGTATGCAAAATTATAAATTTAACTATGAATTGACATTAATTAAATAATAATGTAACCATTAATATTTAAGCTAAATTATTTCTGTTGTCACTTTCAATATTCCATTATTGGTTTTATTCGTTCAACAAAATTTTTAGGTTAGAAAACAGTAAAAATGATTGACGGGATCTAATAAGTCCATGGCTTTCTCCTTTTTGAAGTAAAATTACATATTTTATTATATATGACAAAACAAATATATTTTTTCAAATTGAAAAGAATCATAAATTGAAATCTAGAAATGAACAATCTCAAGTGGGATTTCACTTGGGTTTCTTTTCTCCCACGAAAATCTCCATCATTAAAACTTGATACACACTTTTTTATTAGTTGAATTGAATTTGTTAAACTATATTAAATGTATATAATATATATTTTGATTTTTAATATAGACCAGGTTATTCGGTAACTCGAGCGTTTGAACCGGATCGATTTTCATAGTCCTTGTCTAATGAAACAGAACAAGGGAAGGGTATTATGGTCATGCGGAATCTTGGTGCCAACTCAGATCCTGACAACTCTGCTGAGTGTCCTTTCTGGCGCCTACCCAGAGTCACATCACATCCGTGTTCAAATGAAACCTTAAAACCCCCAAAAGCAGTGTTCTCAATCATCGTCACCACGATGTCTCTGACACCCAGATCTTCTGTTGTTCCCATTCCCACACACCTCTTTCTTCTACTTATTATAATCCTTCCTCTTCCTCTCAGCAGGACAGCAACACAAGATAAATCTTCTGATCTTCACAAGGTCCTCCACAGGTATGGGTTGCCGGCGGGGCTCTTCCCTCAGAGTGTGAGGTCATACGATCTGGACCAGACGGGTCGGTTGGAGGTGCACCTGGATCGTCCCTGTCTGGCTCAGTACGAGACGAGGGTGTTCTTTGACAGCGTGGTGAGGGCTAACCTTAGTTTCGGACAGCTCAAGGTGTTGGATGGGATGTCTCGGCAAGAGCTTTTCCTGTGGCTACCTGTCAAGGATATCATAGTCGCCGATCCTTCCTCCGGTCTCATTCTTATTGACATCGGTCTTGCCTTTAAACACCTTTCACTCTCTCGCTTTGAAGATCCTCCAATTTGTAGATCTCATTCCGGTACATCACATCCTCTCTCTCTAATTGCTTCTCAATGTCATTCATGCATTATGATTTCTGTTGAGTTCATTGTAAACTCCTGGTTTTGCAGAAATCACTGTATGGTCTGAGTCATATAATTTAAATTTTCTCTATTTTTTATCTGATACGTAACAATGGAACCTATCATAAAGAAATTGGCCAACACTTTGTTGATTCCGTTCCATGTAATAATTTCTTTAATGATTAGGCTTTTGATGTATAAATCAAAATGAGACGAAATAGGCTTGAAAGTTTAAAATCAGACATAAATTTTCAATATGCTTAGACGTGTTTGTGAGAGATATTGGATTCAAACTAGAGAAACTTCTGTCTAGAAAATAGTTTTGTAGTTTTTTCTAAAGCATTTCTAATTTGTATGCAACAGGTCGTTTATCGTGATTATTGTTATTCTGTTCTCATTATTAGTTAATAATTTTTCTCTATATTTTTGGATTTTGTTCAAATAGAAAAGAGTTTTGATATCGAAATTGGATGTGGATGCAGGACTTATGCTTAAAGTTGGAGGAAGGAAGGGTGTTGGATTTAAAAATCAATGATGAAGGTGTACGTTTGGCTGAGGATGGCTGCTTCTCAAGTTTGGTTTCTCTTTCTTGGGTTCTGGTTTTCCCTAGAAAGAATTATGTGAAGAAATGTGTAAACCCAAAATTTATAATGCCATCCAATAATTTCATGAAGTCGATCACAGGATAATAAATACTACCTTGCACAGGAGAATCAATTCATTTCTAGTTAGAAAATACATGTTATAGATAATTTTACCACTTTTTTTATTAGATAAAAGGACTAAAATGTCCATTTGAAGCAAATTGATAAAATTAATCCTCATGGGACCAAATGAAGTGTTCTTTTAAAGCCTAAAATAGTTTAAGATTATATTTGTTTTACTTATATTCAAAATGTTGAATTTAAGAAATGTCTCAATTTTTACAAAGATGTAGTCATACCATGAAATTTGGTTCTTTTAAAATTTATCAAACAAAAATAGATATACTTACTAATATTTCTTTTCCAAACTACACAAATATTTAAATTTAAAGTAGTAGTTGTTGTGTAAACAAAGCAAAAGCAAAAGCAAACGTTTTGTGCTTTTTTGTTCAGCATTTATATGTAAACAAAGGAAAAGCAAACGTTATATATAACATAATGTGTCTTATTTTATTTTATTTTATTTTTGAAACATATAATCTAGAATCATATATATATATATATATATATATATATATATATATATATATATATATATATTATGTTTGATTCCATTTAGCAGAAGGAGGATGAGACGGGGTTATGAGAATGTTGTTCTGCTACATGAACATTAGCATTTTAAACATCATTTCTCTTATCAAAAGGTTTTGTTGCATTATTGTTGCCTGTGTAGTTGAAGCACACACATCTCTTTAAACCAATGAAACCATTGTTTTGAAAGAGAAGGAAAAAGTGAAACTAATGGACAGAGTTGGGAGACCACCATAAATAACTGCAACTTTATTTTATCTAAACCATCATCCCACCATTTTTATGTAAGGTCCAAAGTGCATGTGTGTAGTGTAGGTTATTGGATCTTGCCTTGGTTATAATGTTATGTGAGTGTGCATGAGGTTTTAGTTGTAAAAGCACAAAATCTTCACCATAATTGATTATCATTGTCTACAAATGTTTCCTTGACGCTAATCAGGTGTTTAAATAGGTTATTTGTTTTGTAAAACCAATCATAATAAACCGTGAATCAAATTAAAATTGATGATAAGGGAGGGATGAAGGATAGTCTGAAATATTTGTGTTTAAATTTGTTTAATATTTAATGTAATATGTTGACAGTAAGGTAAATAAAGTATTTATGTTTAAATTTTGGGTAGGGTTTAGGGTTTTTAAAATTAGAGTTTATAGATACTAAGTTATACTTATAAATGTACAATTTAGTTTTGCCGACGGATATGTTGACATTAAATAAATAATTAATTACCGATGAATTAGGGTTTTTAATGTAATAGGTTGACAATAAGGTAAATAATATTTGTGGAATTTGGTTTTACCGACGGATATATCTGTCGGTTAATGAATAATTAATTACCGATGAATATATCTCGTTGGTAAATTAACAATTTCGATAAATTAATAATTAGTTATAGACAAATTTATCTATAAATTAATAATTAGTTATTGATAGATATATCTGTCGGTAAATTAATAATTAGTTACCGATGGATATATCCGTCGGTAAATATTTAAAATATATAAATATATTTATATTTATATATTTACACGGATATACATTTATTTGTATATAAATATAATTTATTTGTAAGTTATTATTAAAAAATTATAGTAGTTTAGTGATTAGAGTATCAACCTCTAATTCTAAAGTACTTGAGTTCAAATCTTGCCAGTGACAATTCTCTTAGTTTGATAATAATTCAAAATATAATAAATAATAAAAATATAATATAAAGGGGAGGGGGCCTTAGGTAAATAAAAATGTGTGTTGGATAAGAAGATATTCATTATACAATATTGACAAAGAGTGTAGTTTGATATTGTTGGATGAATGGTCAAAAGTTTTGATATTGTTGGATGAATGGTTAAAAGTTAAGAATTCATTGATTATTATTGTAATCATTACATGTTACTAATTTAGTTTTATATATATGAATTTCGTGTAGATGCAACTTTTTCATTGTTGTTTGAGTTATGTAGTAGATGAAATGAAAAAAATGGGTTGTTTTAGAATATGAGATAAAGTAATATCTTTTACACCTTTAGATATTTGTTTGACTTTAGGACTTTCTATAATTGGAATTAAGTTTATTTTGATGAAAGTGGTGATTGTTTGATGGTAAACATGTTTCTTTAAAAAATATTTTTGCTAAACTCGAGCAACTGTATAGTGAGGAAGACCTTGATGATTTTTATAAACTGTATATACTTTTTGGGTTGATGGAGTTTTATTTTCCAAATACATATCCTTATGTAGGTGTAAGCTCCTTCAAGGTATTAAATACTATATATAAGTGATTGACAAATATAATTAGGGTGTGTTGTGTACGAGAACTTATTTGAAAATCTTTTTTCAAATATTTTATTCTTTGTTGGAAGAAAAAAATTCATCATAGTTGCACATTGTTATATATGTTTTAGTATTACAAGTACATTATTTTATTATTAAGTTAATTTAAATTGCAGGTTTGGGCCTTTGAGCATTTACTCAAATTTTCAGTAAAAGGTATTGAAAAAAATTAATGTATTAAGGTGTGCTGTGTATGAGAACTTATTTGAAAGTCTTTGTCGAACATTTTATTTTTTGTTGGAAGAAAAAAATTCATCATAGTTGCACATTGTTAGATATGTTTTAGTATTACAAGTACATTATTTTATTATTAAGTTAGTAATATATTTTTCAATTACTTTGGTAATTAATTTAAATTGCAAGTTTGAGCCTTTGAGCATTTACTCAAATTTTCACTAAAAGGTATTGAAACAAATAATGTATTACCTAGTGGATTGATGTTGTAGTGAGTAAAAAAATTATATCAACTTCCTTTAAGCAAAATTTGGTACTATTTAATTGCTTTAATAATTATTTTCAGATAGGCATTGTGTATTATGAATTGAATGTATGTTTTCATAAGAATGATAGGTTGTGGAAAATCTTACTATAACAAATATAGATGTTGCACATAATTTTTTTAAGGGAGTATTTGGAAAAGAATATAAAAGTTTTATCTATTTTAATACTTCTAGTATCAATAGCAATCATATTATTAATGATAATACAATGTTGTTGGAGAGAAATAGAGGATTGGAGGAAAGGATTTCAGACATTGATATGTAATTATTACATATAAAGGAATGTTTGAAAAAACAACAAATGTTTTGTAACGACAAATACAAGAGAAATAATAATAATTTTGAATTCTCGAAGCACACGAATTAAAATGAAGACATTAATAATGTGTATGAAGATCCTAAAAATTGAAGGTTCTAATATATAATGAAATAGAAGACTAGGAAACATGTTTGAAGTGTAGTTACAAAATCACCATAACTTAAGTATCATAACAAAAGAAGAAATACACATAGACAAGTTATTTGATGTATATTTAGTTGTACTTACTAACATAACCACTTTGTCATTGTGCTAGAGTATATTAATAAGACATGTTGAGCACAACTTTCATTTTGCACTTTTTATCCACCAAACATTTAGTTTTTCCATGTTTTAAGTGTGGTTGGAATTTATGTACTTATTGTTCATTGTGGAAGTTTAATTACGAAATGATATTATGTGAATTAGTATAAAATTTGATGATTTATGTAGTTGACATATGTATGATTAGTTTATGACAACAAATTTTTCATGTAACAATGTGTAAATAAGTTCATGAATAGAGTTATTATGACCACATATTGTAATAAATTGGTGAATAAAGTTGTTATGACCACATATGGTAGTTGGTTCATACTTTTTGTTTTCAAATACAATTTGAAAACATGGTAAGCAAGATAGAAAACTAAGTGCAATGCCCAAAGGTTTTTTTTTTTTCATCTAGGAGAACTATTAAGTTCATATTCTTAACCCATCAAACTAATAAACAATGTAAAATAACATTGCTAAAATTAAAACTTACTAAAAAACATGGATTATTCACGCTACTGTTGCAAAACAAATCAGAAATGAAAAATTTACAAACAAAACAAAATATCTACAATATAAAAAAATAATAGTCAATATAATTTGAATATTTACATGAAATTAAGGAGTGAAAATTTTTTATACAAACCATGTTGTCAACTCAATTTTAATTCTTCATATATTACATATTCTTATGATCAAGGTAAGCACCATACATACTAAGATTCTGCAATAAACAAATAAAAATATCATTTATCATTAACATCACATATTATACAAACATATGTACTAAACAATAAATATTTACTTATTCTCCTTTTAAATGGGACACCTCTTAACACAATAATTGTATATATGTTTAAAATTTGCTTTTGTTTCGTATTTTTAAAAGCAACAAACAAATAAAAATATCATTTATCATTAACATCACATATTATACAAACATATGTACTAAACAATAAATATTTACTTATTCTCCTTTTTAATGGGACACCTCTTAACACAATAATTTTATATATATGTTTAAAATTTGCTTTTATTTCCTCTTTCTAAAAGGGTTTGTAACAACCTCTGCATCTATTAATACAGGACATTAATTCAATATTTCATAATTTCTTTTGTTATATGTTTGAAGGCACCAATTACATCCTTCAACATTTTCAACACTTTTTTTTCTAATATCACTACACGTTTCTCAAATTCAACATTCTTCTGCATCAAACACTTTTATTCAATTACAATTGATCTGAACGTTGTTACACTTCAAATACATATCTCCCTTTCCATGTCTCTTAAAGTAATACATGAAATTTTGTCTTATTATTGAAAATTATTATAAATAAGCCAAATGAAAGAGTTAATGTATACATACCTTTTTATGACTGTAATCGATCTTAATAATTAGGAAACCGATTATTTTTTATTCCAATTGCAATATGTAAACCTACTCTAACATGACAAGATAGAATATAATTAAAAATCATCGAGCATATTAAGAGCAAACAGAGACGTAATACAGATCAATGATAGTGTAATTGACTAAGTCTATCTCTGACAACCATCACAACCCTGGAATTGTGTAAATAATGAGCGTGGTTGATTTCTTCTCCTGTCTCTTCGACAATCAAATAAAAGGTGTTCATATCTATTCCAATATTAGATAGAGACCTAATTCACTCTTCTTTATTTGCTTCTTCTCCGTTTTTAGGTTTTTTTTGTTTTTTACTTTTTAACTTCATTATAATTTGATTTGCCACCTAAGCAAAAATAAATTAAAAATTATCATGTAAGCAGGTGTCTATCGGGTGAACCTAGGAGGTGGATGGACGTTACTCGTTATCCTTCTTCAAAATGAACAGGTGATACTTAAGAATTTTATAGGGCTGCACCAAGAAAAGCCTAAAATAGATCGTCCAAAATGTTTGGGCTGATCGCGGTGCAAGCCCAAACGTTGAAACGCTTTCAAAACAATGGCTCCACTATGTAAGGGTGGCCAGAGGTTGAAGCAGTAGACCTTGTTTAGCTTGTATGCTTGGTACTGAGTAGCAGAAGACACAATAAAAACGGCACAAAATGTATCGCGTTCTTCACCGCGCTTTGTGCACCGCCACAGAGCCCGCCACCGTTAGCATCAAGTCCATTTCGGAGGATCTGTACAAGGAAGTGAAGTTAAAAAGGGTGGTCGAGAAGTTCAAGAAAGCTTCCGACATCGACCGCTTCCGCAAAAAAACCGGCATCTACGAGGACACGGTGCGGCGCCTCGCCGGCGCCAAGCGCTTTCGGTGGGTCCGTGACATCCTCGAACACCAAAAGCAGTACTCCGATATTTCCAAAGAGGGTTTCTCTGCGCGCCTCATATCCCTCTATGGCAAATCCGGCATGTACAAACACGCGCGCAAGGTGTTCGACGAAATGCCCCAGCGAAAATGCGACTGCACCGTGCTCTCTCTCAACGCCCTCTTGGCTGCATACCTTCACTCCGGGAAGTACGACGTCGTTGAAGAGCTTTTCAGGTCCCTCCCCTCCCAGCTCTCAATCGAGCCTGATTTGGTGTCGTACAACACTCTCATTAAGGCGTTTTGTGAAAAGGGTTCCTTTGATTCGGCATTGTCAGTGCTTAAGGAGATGGAGGATAAGGGTGTGAACCCTGATTCCATCACGTTTAACACTTTGCTTGATGGATTGTACTCAAAGGGTCGTTTCGAGGATGGTGAGAAGGTGTGGGGGCAAATGGGTGCGAAGAATGTTGCACCTGGCGTGAGGAGTTACTGTTCCAAGTTGGTGGGGTTGGCTGGGGAGAAGAAAACGGGTGAAGCTGTTGAGCTTTTTAGGGAAATGGAGCAGGTGGGTGTGAAGCCTGACCTCTTTTGCATCAATGCTGTTATCAAAGGTTTTGCGAATGAGGGTAATTTGGATGAGGCTAAGAAGTGGTTTAGTGAGATTGCAAACTCTGATTATGATCCTCATAAGAGTACTTACTCTACCCTCGTTCCCTTCCTGTGTGAAAAGGGTGATTTGAAGACTGCAGTTGAGATGTGCAAGGAGATTTTCAATAGCCGGTGCCGTGTTGACGCGTCATTGCTGCAGCTCGTGGTGGATAAGCTGGTGAGTGAGGGCATGATTTCAGAGGCGAAGGAGATTGTGGAGATTGGGAAAACCAATAGGTACTGTCGCTATAAGCTAAATTTGCCTGCAGAAGAGTAGAGCTATATTAGTGCTTAGTTGCACTTTATTATTGTTCTTTTAATTTGATTGGTTTTGTCATAATGGTGATTGAGAAACTACCAAGAATGGTTTTTGTTTGGCATTAAGAGCTTAGTGACTGGTTGCTTCAAAATGGCTTATGCTGTCTGATTGCACTGGTTCTTTTTACAGGTTAGAGATATCAGCCCTTAAACTTTCTACCTGCATGGAATTTTCTTATGTGAATTTACATTTAGGAATTTAAATATGGAATGCATGCCTGCATGCACATATGGACTTTTATTTATATGTGGATGTGTGGCAGTTCGATCTTCCTACTTTTATCCTGGGCATCCTGTATGCTATATAGAAATATAGATTCGGTTTTCAGCAGGGCATTGAAGAAAATGTTCAAGAACGATAGTCATGGCTACAGCCTATGTAAGTCTAGTTTAGGTAGTGTGTAAATATTGTTAAGGATTGTAGTGTGTAACTAATAATTATATAACGTAGGGCCCGACGTTTTAATTCAGAAGGATTAATTTGATAATTATTTAACATCTTTGAAAATAATTAAAATTTTCAGTATGGTTCCTCTAAATACTTCAGATATTCTGGAGCGAAAAATTAAAGATCTATAATTATTTAATGTTAAAATTAATACAGTAAATTTCGATAAGATAGTCTCACACGAACTGTCTTACATGAAGAACTACAATATAAATATTATAAGAAAGGAGTAAAATATATTCTTACAAAGGTCTATAATATAAATATTCTAATAAGGGACTAAAATATGAATCTTTTAAAAGCATATGGAAAAGGAATTGTTACTAATATTTTTAGGAATAAAAAAATTTATTATGAGTTTTATATCTGAGTTTAAAATTGAAAAAAATAATTAAAAGAAAGTTGTTTAAAAGAAAATTATTTAATTAAATAATTCTACCTAAATTTTAAATAATTTAATTATGAGACTCGTAATAAGATATTTAATTTTATTTTTAAACAACTCTAAAATCTATCCCAAATTTTACAACATCTCTTCAATATTCATATGGGCTTATCAACTCATCATTTTAATATTATATCAAATGTTTTAATATTATATCAAATGTTAATAATGGTGGTCCACAAATCACCTATTTCAATGATGCATTGTAGAATTCACCTTAAAATAATTCCATAGCCGAGTTTAAAGTTGGAGATAGTTTTTGAGCAATTAATAGGAAAAGGGAAAATGACAAATATTGCCTCCTTCACCTCACCATCTTATATTCTCCTCGGATAGAATCTTCTAGTAGATATTACAAAGTGTTTTAAGAAAAGAGTTTGTTCCTGCCAAACTTCAATACGTCAAGCTTGCAAATATATTATAAACCACATCATCCAATTTTAATGGTACAAAAAATATGTAATATGAATAATTTATTTGGGACAAGAAGGAATTTTTATGTTAGACTATATTCGGATCAGTCAACAATATAATTTGGTATGTCCAAGCCCAACACAATTTGTTTCAGTTGTCAATTCTATGGGCCTCCATCTTTGTGACACACAAAAGTATTGTCAAGACTATAGTATTGAACACTCTTTACAGTGCATCTTATTTTTATTCCAAACATTAAAATTGAGATAAGTCATTTTATATATTAACAATAACTATTGTAAAAAAGTGTTTTTTCTGCATTTTCATATATGACAATTTTAAATAAATTAAGCTAATTTTAATAAAGTTTACTTTCCTAATTGATAGAGTTGATATATTGATATCGAGTTAAATTTGTTGGATAAAATTAAATAAAAAATAATAAGTTTAAATGTTAGTTGAAATTTTTTGGTTTTGCAGATATATTAGACAGTTAATACTATAATTCTAGATAATTATTATTATGATTTTGGGAAATTAATGATAGAGTTTCGTAAAGTCAAACTTGTAGTCTTTAAATATCTAAATATAATTCTTATTTTGTATGATAGAAAATAAATAATATATAGTTTTTAGAGATTCTTTGTCATTAAATTGATAACAGAGATAGGGTTTAAGTATTTGAGTATGAGAAAGCTTGAAGAGATTGATGACTAGTTTAACAAATAATGTGGCCCTGTCCCGGTTGACAAAAATAATCAACTATGATAATTGGCGTCACTAGATGAAGGTTCTTCTTAGATCCCAAGATAATTAAGAGATAGTTGAGGATGATTTTGAAGAACCAAAAAGTAGTAAAGGAATTTCAATAGCTGCAAACAAAACATAGAAAGAGAAGCGTGTAGAAGATTGTTGGAGATCAACACTATGATTAAAATAATTCAATTATGATAGGATTTAATGATAATATAATTAGTTTTATTTTGTTATTTATGCATAATTATGTACAACATTTATAGGGAGAATATTTCCCTAATTTTCAGGGATACATTAGTGTATAGGTTTATTACCTTGTACTATTTGTACCTCATTTGCATATTTTCCAAAATAAGAAATACACAAGGTATTTTCCGCATGGTATCAGAGCTCGATCTGGACCATCCCTAACCTAGTGCAGCCAACCATGGAAGAGAACAAGGCAGGAGGTTCGACCACCAGTTTGGTCGAAGGACCTACTCTTCCTATCACTGATCACAAATTGAATGGCCAAAATTACCTTAATGGGTGCATTCAGTTAAAATCTTCTTTCAAGGAAAAGGGAAGGAATGTTACATCACCGGAGATTCCAAGTGTCCAGTAGAGGGTGACCCTAACCTCAACAAATGACAACTAGAAAAATAGTTTAGTGATGTCATGGTTACCCAACACCATGACCAATGAAATTGGGGAGAATTTCATGTACTATGACACTGCTAAGGAGATGTGGAATGTAGTGAAGGAAACATACTCAAATGTGGACAATACGTCTGCGGTATTTGAGATCTAGAGAGCATACTCCATGAATTGCGACAAGGTGATTTCTCAGTCACTGAGTATTTTAATACACTCAGCCAACGTTGGCAGTAACTAGACATATATGAAGACGTTCAATGGAGCTGTGTCGAGGATAAGAAGAAGTATAAAGAATTGGTGGAGAAAGATAGGATCTATAAGTTCATTGAACTTGATAAAGTTCGAGGAAAATCAAACCTTTTAAAACAATCTGGGAAGTATTTTCGGAAGTGAGAAGGGAGGAGAGCAAGAGGAAAGTAATGCATGGGAAGTCAAGTATAACCCCACCCATTGAAGGCACAATAATGACAGCAAGGGGGAATCAATCTCGTCCATCTAAAAAGAAAAATCGGCCCTGGTGCGATCATTGCAAGAAATTGGGACACACTAAGGACACCTGCTGGTTTATTCATTGCAAGCTTTCAGAGAAAAAACAAATAAAAATCCTGGACAGTAAAGGCAACACAACATAGGTAAATTCTAATCCATCTTCATTCAACAAGGAACAACTGTAGTAGCATAAAAAGGTAATTTCTTGCATGCTCTAAATACTAGCACAGGAAAATCAAAGTCATGGATCATTGATTTAGGAGCCTTAGATCACATGACTGGAGACTTAACTGTGTTTAAAAGCTATACTCCTTGCCACAATAATTACACAGTTCAGATAGTTGATGAGACTCTTTCTAAAGTCATGGATAAATGTTCAGTTATTATCTCACAAAATATTAGCCTGAAGTCAGTCCTTTATGTTCCTAAACTTGACTGTAATTCACTATCCATTAGTAAACTGGCAAAAGATTTGAAGTGTGTCACTAAATTCTTTTCTAACCTATGTGAATTTCATATTTTGGAGATGAGGGAGACAATTGACATTGCTAAAGAATGTGTTGGACTCTACTGCCTCTAAACTGAAGCGTCAGAGGCGGAACCCAAGGCTAACTCTTGTGCTGTGGTACCGAAAAATAAAATTTTGTAATGTTGTGGCACTATCAGCTTGACCAACCAAATTTTATGTATTTAAGAAGAATGTTTCCCACATTATTGAATAAAAATTAGGAGTTGTTTGAATGTGAAATATGTCAATTGTCCAAACATCCTACAACTCATACTCGTCTCAACCTTATAAACTCTCTCAACCTTTCTCCCTAATTCACAGCGATATATGGGGATCATCATGGGTAAACAATGTCATGGAATCAAGATGATTTGTCACCTTTATAGACGATCACACACATGTCACTTGTGTGTTCCTAATGAAGAAGAAATTAGAAGTTGGCAGAATATTTGAATTTTTCCATACTATGGTGGAAACACGATTTCAAAGTAGGATTAATGTACTTAAAAGCGGTAATGGTCGAGAGTATTACCACTCTGCAGTTCCTACCTTCAAAGACATGGAATCATACATCAGGGTTTATGTGTAGATACTCCTCAATAAAATGGGGTCGTCGAGAGAAAGAATAAATATCTTTTAGAAGTGACCAGATCTCTCATGTTGGCTACAAATGTACCCAACCAATTTTGGGGAGAAGTTGTCCTCTCTGCAACCTACCTCATAAACAGAATGCCTGCCCGAATCCTTAACTTTAACACCTCACTCTACTCTCCAAACCTCATACCCTACTAGTTGTATTCTTACATCTATTCCTTTGAAAATATTTGGATGTTCAACCTTTATCCATAACCTCTATCCTCGTCGCAACAAACTTGACCCAAAATCTATAAAATGTATTTTTCTCGGCTATTCTCCCTAACAAAAGGGGTATAAATGTTATTCACAACAAATCAGAAAATTTTACCACACTATGGATGCCACAATTTTTTTAGAATCAACCTTATTATCCTAAAGTTGGCATTCAGGGGGAGCAGATTTATCCAATTGAAGTGGCAGAATCCCAACTTTTGGGATTTGAGCTAGCTCACTCTACCCCAAATGTAGAACCAGCCAAGACTGCACCTGCAATAGAGGAAACTACAATAGCAAATGCAGAGCCAACCGAGATTGCACCTGAAAGAAAGGAAGTAGAGTCTAGCACAGCTCCAAGATAAAGTCATGAATCAAACCAAGCTCTAGAAAATGAGTTTTTCCTAGGTAATT